AGGAAAATTCTCAAGTAAAACTCATTAATGAAATTAACGACTCAATCACGGCAAGAATAAAAAACGTCGCTCATAACAACGGAATTTCGATTTATGTGGCCCAGTAAAGTTTTTGACTGAAGTAGTCAAAGCCTCGATCTATGAACTTGAGCTCCGGGTCAGGTAACGTTAGTCTTTGATATGAGACAGAATATTCGGTTCTCCGAATCGAAGCTCTTTTTCTATTATTGAAAATTTAAAGTATCCAAACAAAAAAACTTGGTTGGCTTTAAGAAGAGCCTTCAAGGCGGCAAGAGAGCAAATGAAAGCTATAAGTTTGGTTTCAAAAAAAGGTTCAAAAATGCAAAACTAACCCAAACCGGAGTTTTGGCGGTTTGAAGTTCATGCGATTAACATAGTCTCCAAAGAGGAGAGAGTAACGATTCCAAATTAAAATTCTTATTTGCCATGTTCGACGAACATAATTTCCCGATTCCAATGTAACTTTTCGCAGTTCATGCCCTCAAAAATAAAATAATACGATTGCAACTCGCAATTCAGGACAAAAAAGAGAGAATTTCCATCGGTGTCTTAAACCACATTTTTTGCCTTAACTCGATAATGGGATAAATCGTTTTACTGAAAATTTTGCCTTCCTAGACTAAGGTCAGTGTTCGCGTGAACGGTTTTATTTGATGGCAGTGATGATGATTATGATAAGGATAATTAAGAGTACGATGGTGATGATAACAACGACGATGATTGTTACGATAATGTAATTTATGGTCTGGCTTATCGCATGTTATTTTTGCTTATCAGTAAGATTAAACAATTAGAACACCATTTTTCTAATGAGCACTATTGGATGAAACTTTGCAGCGCACAATGCAACTTGAACACATCTCCACACATCATTGTTTCAATAATTCCTGTTTCATTAATATAGATAAATCATCGGAGAACTTGGGGAAGCGAGGGCTCATGAGGCGCCCACTGTGTGTGTATAATTGTGATAGATGGAAGTTCGATTGAAATGTGAAAATGGATCTGGAAAATAGAGGAAATAAAAGCTAAGCCATTGGCCATTAGTGATATCCTTACAGCCGTTGGTCCTGTGCCAAACACGGAGACCGTAATACGGACTGCTCCTCCACCATTCCACCCCCTCCCCCTCCCCTCCTCCACCTCCTCCCCGATCCTTCCTAGCTTTTCTTCTGTGCGCTGCGTTTGTCCTGCCGAAGCCCTTCGTAGGTAATTACTGGTCGAAAAAGTGCATTTATCGGGCTCCGATCCCTAGCTCCCCGCCATGAGCGGGATTTAACGGCCAATTGATGCGACATCACGAGGTCAAACAACTTGTTCGCGAAAGGAGCTTCCTAGCAAATCTAATCCCTTCGTTCCAGGATTTTTCAACTGATTTTTTTCGCGGTTTTTTCACAGTTTGAATATTTGAAGCGTCACAAGAGAAATGGATCGTATTCGATACATCAAATTGTAGAGCTTTTATTGTTTTATAGATTGGTTTGACATGTAAATGTCGTCCATACAGTGGCATTTTTAGGAATTTTCTCCTTCTCTAATTTTCTTAATTAAATCCTAAAATTTTTGTTTGAGATTATGTTCTATTTTTTTTTTTTTGGAACCAAACGATACATCGAACCACTATCGAATAAGATCTATGCCTGCTTTGTTTTCATGCACAGGTTGGTGGTTTAGTAAGTGCGTATGAGAAGACTTTGCGAAAGATGAAAATAAATCATGGGGATGGAACATTTCAACTTACCAATATATTTGCACTAGTGGGTGTCATCATAGTCAAATTAAACTTTGAAATTTACCTGCAAACAAAAGAAAAAAAAAAGGTGTCAGAGTAATGAGATTTTATTTCTTCTTTTTTTTTAAAAAAACATATAAGAGGGTTTAGGTACGTAACGTGGGCTCGGATGAAGCTCTTAGGTACCTGCATATACATCATACATCATGATTGCAAACCAGTGATGAATGATTTAGTCGTGATATTGTCCATAAAATGCCAAATTGAATCGGTTTCAGCTAGACGGGCGTAAGTCGGAAAGCTCAAGAGCCCTGGCGTCCTGCGTGATCAACAAAAGCCAGGGCTCATGATTTTTTCGACTTAAGTCTGTCTAGCTGAAACCAATTCAATTTATATGCACCCAGAGACTCCTATGAGTACTGGATCCTGTGAACAAAAGGGGCGTGCAAATATGATGTTCCATTATTGCAATTTTCATTTCAGAGAGACTCCTGTCAAATCGTCGTTTTCCTCACCAAAAATCGTAACTCCATTTCAATGTTGCCAAATTTCCTCTCGAAAATTTCATATTAACCAGAAAAATCTTAGGCATTTCTAACAGGAAATTTCACTAATTGTTCCACGGATTTCAATTATAAATCAGAAAATTTTGGATAAAATTGCTTAGGAACACTTTTGTAAAATGAATTAATTAATTGAGTCGATTGGGCAACCTTGGAGTGGAGTTACGCTCCTTTGTCCGGGAGACGACGAAATGTCACATTTAGACGTATTTATGCTAAAAGGAACTATGTGCATAGGGTTTGCGTGTAACATAGTTTCTTTTAGCATAAATACGTCCAGCGGGGTGATTATTGAAACTGATAGATAAAGCGATAGACAAAGACGACAAAAGGGATTTGGAGGGATCCTATTGGTGGAAACGGGTTGTTGCAATGGACAAAGGAGGTAGGTAATCGACTGAGTAACGGCAACCCACGAGAAACCCGACAGTTAGTCTATCATTTCCCCCCTTAGTCGATGAGAACCACCCATTTCAACCAATAGAATTGCTTTATACTTCCTATGTCATCTTTGTCTATAGCTTTGTCTATCAGTTTCAATAATCGCCCCGCAGTTAGACTGCTAGTTAAAAGGTCGAGAAATAACGATGTTCGACAACCACGCGAGTGCAACCTCTAAAAGAACTTGATTTTCACTTCCTAATCCTGCACTCACTTAAAACCAGTCCTTGATGGAATGCACTTAGATTAGATTGGTCTCCCTCTATTATCCTATCCGATTTTCAATAATTGCATTTTGAAATGGTTAAGTGGAAAGGAAAGTTTTCAAATAATATTTCCTTGAACGAGCGGCAAGAAGATGGAGAAGAAAAAGAAAAAACTTTTTGTCAAGTCTCAAGTTTATCACCTCTCTCGCGAGGACGATTTGCCTTTCCCCCAACAAAGCGAGTAATCTCTTTTCAGCTAGATGCAACGCGTATTATCTTAGAATTACACTCCTATAAACTCACCCTGGTGCATTAGAAATTGAAATTACAACGCGCTTTAAGTCAGCAGAGGAGCCGATAATACACGTCACCAAAGGCAGGATGATGTGATTTCCATCAAGAATTACTATATTTCCGAGCGAGTAAATAGGAGTTTTCTCCCGATGGAATGAAACAAGATTTAAATGGATAAGTATATTTGGACCGCTCTGAGCAGGAAGGAATCAAGCCACATCAGTTATCGCCGAATTTAATTTTTTACATGAAAACGGTCTAGGCAGATTTTTGTGCAGATGAATTTTCTGCACAGTACAAAGGAAATCCTTAGAAATCTTCAAAGGAGTCTGCATAAAAGTTCTCTCGTTTCTCGGTTAATATTGAACGTAGGAAGTTGCGGTTTGGATGGATCATAATATTTTTAGCTAAGCTACAAGAATCAAGCATCAAAACACAATTTTGTGACTAGCGCAACTGACCCATTAGGGACTAGATGAGGTTTGAATCAGAGGAAAATTCACATGTTTTTTCTTCAAAATCTCACGTATAGCAAACGATTCACACGACAGAATGTTCGGAAACCAATTCCTGAACCAGCTATCAACAAATATTTTCAACACAGATTAAAACGAAGTTAAGTCATTCCAATGACGTCATTCATATCCTTGCCATTTTAGCCAATGATCGTTGTAAGAACCTACATCTTGTTCAGGAGTTGATTTCTATACTTTCCGTAGTAAGGTTCGTATTCTTCGTGAAATTTTGAAGTGGTAACCTGGTACATGGTGTTTAACTCATACATTCTCTAAAGACCCACTTGTTTGAAGCCAAATAGCCCTACAACTGGATTTTATTCGGTAGAGATAATTGAGGGGCTTGGAGGACAAGGCGCGTGAGTTCAGGTTTTGCTATTTCGAGAAATACGTGGTTGAAGTTTCGAAATTACATGGATCCTCATGGCGGAGAGAAAGTTCAAACACACTTGTTGATGCTTAAAAATTGGAATTTGGGAGCAAATTTTTCACAGACTCACATTAGGACTGGTTTCACTCAGAAAAGTAATATCTCAATTTTTTTTAAAAAACTTCACTTATGCGCCTTTTTTTCCAAGCCCCTCGATTGATCTACGCTGAGTTTGAAGAAAATAACAATTTCACGTATTCCAGTGCTGAGAGAAATGTGCGATTATCCCAGTATCGCTCAGATTGCACATAGTTCTCATACATTATTAGGATCTGAGTGAATGAATTTGAAGTTGATAATTGGTGATACATATGAACCCGATAATCATTTTTTCGGGGTTTCCTTGTTTTTTTATGAGAGTTGTTTAGCAGCGACGGTAGATGGAGCGAGGATCACACTTTTGTGTCATGCCTCGGGTCATATCCATGACGGTGTTTTAATGCCGTCTTGGATTTTGCGGCATGTCAAGTTGAATTCACTGCCGAGTATAATCTGCTGATGAGGTCTAAAAAGGCCCAAGCCGGTGTAGTTCTCTCGGCGTGACTCCAACCTAATATTCCAATGCAAATTGCCTGATCTGAACACTTTCCCCCCTCAGTTTCGTACTTGTACGCATTAGAGTTCAAAAAAATTAATCTTGGCTCTAGTGTTAATTTTTGGAATTTCTTGGCTTTGTTTTCCCCGCAAAATGGTGTGGACCCAGCACCGTTTCTCCACTACGTAACAAATGAACTTGCTAACGTTTTTAAATTGGGTGGAAAATCTTAGTTTATCACTTTCATTACAATCTTGTTTTAGGATCACTCTGTGGAAAGGGATGGATCAGAAACTTTTAATACAATTGAAAATTCTCCAAAACAACAGCTACTGCCAGTGAAGACGAGTTTATCGATCGATACGAGGTTTGTAATTCTCAGCTTTATTTTTCCCCCGATTCATCATTCATGTACACTCTTTGACTCCTCCTTAATTTTTTGCCCTCGTTGTCTAACTATCAAAGGCCTGATTATTGAAATCGGCAGACGAAGTAATAGGCAAAGAAGATATAGGGAGTATGGAGCGAGCCAATTGGTTGAAATGGGTGCTTCTTATATACTAAGGGAGAAAATGTCGGACTAACCATAGGATCTCAGGTGGGTTGCAATTAGTCAGTCTAGTACCTACCTCCTTTGTCCATTGCAACCACCCGCTTCCACCAACAGGATCCCTCCATATCCCTTTTGTCTTCTTTGTCTATCAATTTAAATAATCGGCCATCAGATGGGTCAGTCGTCATCGTCATGATTCCTTCAGCAATATAGTAAACATGCAGGAATTTTCAATTGATTTGAACGTTCGATTAATAAATAGTTTTTATATACTCTCTAACTCACAGCTTCTTAAGGGTACCAATTTCACTCTAGAAATTCTGGCAGAGTAATTCTGTAAAAATGAGAATTACTTTTCCTTCTTTTTCATGTTATTTGCGTCAATACCTCAATAATAGTCTACGAGTCCTTGTGGAACATCAGTGGCGCGGTGTGCTGTGCGATGTATCGATTGATCTGCCATTTTAAACCTATGGGAAAGGATCGGTAAACAGGATGTTTGCAACGAACATCTTAATAATCGATTCTTTATCATAGCTTCAAATGGGGGAAATATCGATAATCGATCATTCAGGCCTCGCCATTGCTTGTCACATTTTTTCTGCAGGAATCCTTGTTATACGCACGTGAGACCGTCTTGTTAAACGAACCAGAGTTTTTTTTTTTAGTATTTATTACTATTTTTTTCCTTTTTTAAATTCGTATTTAGCGTAAATATTCAAAATATAAACAGGAGTAGTAGTATTAAAATAATTGTATTTTAAAGCGTGTTCATCAATAGGATATGTCTCACTGCATTAAAGTGGTCTAAAAACTTAATTTTAATTAAAATATTTTTTCTTTTAAAATTTTAAATTTAAAATTTTTAATTTGTAATTATTATTCATTGATTTGAAATTATTTTTATTGATCTTCATTGATTTGTGTTAATCACCCTGGTAAAAATTGGCAGTAAAATCTGTGTTCCAAAATACCATAGACCTACAGCCGGCTGTAAGATTTCCAATAGCTTCTATAGCTGGCTATACAATTTCTTATAGCCTTTTATAGCCGATGGCGACTAAGCAACTCACAGCCAGGCGATAAAGTGTATGCTAAACGTCACTAATTACGGATGCTAGGACTTAGTGAGTTATTGGACTACCGCTCTCTTTTTGGGCTGCAGTATCTTGATTTAATTTGCGAGGAAAGCCCCGTACTTTTGAAGGATGCCTGCCATTCCTAATATGTTGGAGCGCCTTCAATTTCGTATGATATTGTGCAATACCTCTGGTGTCGAATAGTTGCTTCAAGCGCCGCGGTAAGCTGCGGCGCGGCGCGGCGGGCGAGCAGCCAGCGCTGAACGCTCATTGGCGCCTACAAACCTAACAGGGATACTTCACGCGTTGCGCAATGCGTGAAGTATCCCCGTTAGGTTTGTAGGCGCCAGTGCGCCGCCGCTCCGCTTTGTGTTAGGCTCTAATATTTAATCTCGCGGAGTCAGCGTTTATCAACTCATGACTATGAAATGTTTGCACAGTCTGTCTATATGGATTATTCTCATTTTAATTGATGAAAAAAAATATGTATATGTAGTAAAGGAAAATATAATGTGCGTTTTGTAAATATTAAGGTGATTCCGTACAAACTTAAGGATTTACAAAGCACGAGAATTTCTACATAATTTCTTATAGCCTTTTATAGCCGATGGCGAAAAAGCAACAGCCAGGCGATAAAGTGTAAAGCCCGGCGA